TTTTTTAGTAGAAACGGAGTTTCACCATGTTGGTCAGGGTGGTCTCAAACTCCTGACCTTGTGATCTGCCCACTTCAGCCTCCCAAAGTGCTGGGATTACAGGCGTGACCCATCGCACCCGGCTGTATCTGTAATTTTTAAAAGCTCCATAGGTGTTCCTATTGTGAAACAGGATAGGTTTAGTTAGGTTTGATGACCTATAAAGTCCATCCAAGTTCTTATAATCTAATATAGTAACATAGAACAGCAAATCCATTCTTTCTGGTCTGTCTTATGTAGTAGTTTGGTCTTGTGCCAATGAATGAGTCATGGGAGCATGCCTTCATCCATCACCACATACTGACAACTAGAGGGCTGCCTCTACGTATATATGTTTGGATATTTCACTTGGATTCTATGGGCTGCTTCCTTATTGTTAAATTGAATTCAATTCCACCAACATCTATCAGGCACCTATTATGCACCAGATGCTACATGAAACTGGGACATAAAGGAAAGCAGCAATCATCTCTTTTCTATAGAAAAGCCATAATCTAGTGATTGCTCTCTCTAGTGCTTTCCTGTTTTAAAAGTCACGTGATTTTTCATGAAAGAACAGTGCAGTTTGCACCCAGCCTTGTTGGGAATCCATATTCTTTCTTGAGGCAATATAAAATGTAAGTTGGCTGTAAGTACTGTGTGAGTTAAGATACAGGCGCGTGTAATCCCAGCACTTTAAGAGGCCAAGGCAAGCAGATCACGAGGTCTAGAGATCAAGACCATCCTGGCCAACATGGTGAAACTCTGTCTCTACTAAAAATTAGCCAGGCATGGAGGCACACACCTCTAGTCCCACTACTCCGGAGGCTGAGGCAGGAGAATTGCTTGAACCCAGGAGGTAGAGATTGCAGTGAGCCAAGATCGTGCTACTGCACAGAGCGAGACTCTGTCTCAAAAAAAGAAGAAAAAAATGCAAGCTCAATTGCTGCAAGAAGTTCTCTTTTGCATAAGTCTGTGTGGTCAGTTTGGGGACGATATGGTGTCTCCAAAGTGTCACAGACCCAACCACCTCTTACCTGATTACTGTACTCTTACCTGATTATTCTTATTTGATTACTCTACATCCTCAAATGATGGCATCCATGCTTTGGTTTAAGACAGCGGCTTCAGTTATCACCAACACATCTGCATTTCAAGTAGAGAGAAGGGGAAGGCAGAATCTTTCTCCTTAGGACACTGTTCCAAAAATTGTACTTTCTCTTCTGTTTACATCCCATTGACGAGGACTTAAGTCTGTTGGCACATGTAGCTTCAATGAGGCTAGTAAGTGTGGTCCTTAGAATTGGATATCTAAGTCCTCTCAATGTTCAGTTTTCTTATAGTAACCTCTTATTTATCTTTTCCACTTCCTTCCTTTTCAAATCACTGATAGATGTGTAATTGAACATGTTTTTTTAAGTAAGTATATGGTCATTATTAAATGATGCTGATAGTGGCCGGACACAGTGGCTCATGCCTGTAATCCCAGCACTCTGAAAGGCTGAGATGGGTGGATTGCTTGAGTCCAGGAGTTTGAAACCAGCCTGGGTAACATACCAAAACCCCATCCATCTCTACTAAAAATAGAAAAAAGTAGCCAGGCGTGATGGTGTATGCCTGTAATCCCAGGTACTTGGGAGGCTGAGGTGGGAGAATCACCTGAGCCCAGAAGGTCGAGGCTTCAGTGAGCTAAGATCATGCCACTCTTCCAGCCTGGGTGACAGAGTGAGATTCTGTCCAAAAAATAAATAAATAAATAAAAAGACAGTGATAGAAAAACTGCAGGAAAAAACACGGAATCATTGGCTATCAGCTGTTTGATGAAGACTTTAAGCTTGTAGCATTCTTCAGCTATTGACTTCCAGTTCTACCTCTTTCTCTAATTAGCTGCATGATTTCAGATATGTCACTTGACATTTATGCTTGGTTTGTCTGCAAAAAAAAAAATCATATTTAACTGTCAGGGTTATTTGCATGGTTGACTTCACGGATGTGAAAGTGTTTTGGAAACTAAAAACCACATTGCATATGCGCACTGGGTGGTATTGTTGCATTGTGACCGCACACTGCATAATGCCTTACATTGAGGCACAGACAGAATCTTGGATGTTACGGTTCTCGAGCAGTTATTTTGGTCCTATTTCTAGACTCCAGGGCCAGCCTGTACTTTACTACCAGACTTCCAGCTGGGCATGAGTTCCCTAGCTAACTGCAGATCCAGAGGCAGGTCAGGTTGCTACATATATATATATATATATATATATATATATATATATATATATATATATTTTTTTTTGAGATGGAGTCTCACTCTGTTGCCCAGGCTGGAGTGCAGGGGCACGATCTCGGCTCACTGAAACCTCGCCTCCTGGGTTCAAGCGATTCTCCTGCCTCCGCCTTCCGAGTAGCTGGGATTACAGATGTGTGTCACCATGCCGGCTAATTTTTGGTATTTTTAGTAGAGATGGGGTTTCACCTTGTTGGCCAGGCTGGTCTCGAACTCCTGACCTCAGGTGATCTACCCGCCTTGGCCTCCCAAAGTGCTGGGATTACAGGTGTGAGCCACTGCGCCTGGCTACTACCTATATTTCTTAACTTCCTGTTAAATAAGCAAAGAGTCCTTTTGGTTTTTCTTAGTTTTTTAATATTAATATTCATTGGAGGTCCTGTCAGCAAAAATCTAGAATTACAAGTTAAATTTTCCCAAGCTCACACAGCAAAGGTCCCTAGACCTTTATTGAATTGCAAGTTGACTTTCTACCCTGAGTTTCTTGTGTGCAGTTTTGCTTTTCTTTCTGCACTCATTCACTTGTTCACTCATTCATCATGGATTTTACTGAGTCCCTACTCTGTTCCAGGCTCTTGGTATCATAGGTGAATAAAGCACAATTCCTTTATGTGAATTAAATGTCACTGATATACCTGGCATTTAGTAGGCTTTCAGTAGATGTTGGTTTTCTTTGTCTGCCCCTCATTTTGCTTCATTAACCTACCAAATGCATCTTTGACTCTGGTGTGTCCAGAAGAAATGAACAATATTGATGCTCCAGACATCCCCAGCATAGATTGCTTTGCAATATGCACAGCACAGATAAGTCATTTCAAAGTCCATAGATAGAGGGACTTTTGCTGATTTCATCAGAAGGAGTAGAAATTGCAACATAATTTTTGTTCTTCCTCCTACCCTCAGCTTCATGTACAGATCAGTGACAGAGTATCTTCAGCGTTTATCCTTCCTCCCTTCCTTGATCTGCCCTTCATCAAAGCATTTTAGATATAAAGTTAAATAGGGAAGCATGCAGAGTGGGGCATAAATCATCCTAACCTCTTACCATCCCTCCAACCCTATATTCTCAAAAGACATCATTGGAGTGCACCATTGTTTGGGTAACAATTCACCAGTTTTAAAGTATTTTCTTGTTGCCTTTCTCCTTTTTTGACATTCATCTAATTTTCCTTTCTTTTGTAGGCTGTCAGCCAGATGAAACAGCAAAAATATCCAACGAAAGTCTCCTTCAGTTCACAAGAGATACCATTAGCACCAACTTCATCATACCATTCAACAGATGCAGACTTCACAGGCTATGGTATGATTCTTTTCCTGAGCAGATCTGGCTCATTAAGCCTTAAAGAAGGAAAGGGATCCTAATGTCCTAAAAGGAGAACTGGACCAGGAGGCAGAAGCCTGAGTCTAGATGCTTCCTCCACTTCCTTAGCTTTGGGGCTTGGATAGGTCACTTCGTTTCCTTTACCATCTTCCTCCTCTCTGCCATCGCCACTGCCTATTACTTTTTGAATATAAAAGCACTAGAACAGAAAAGGACCTCAGCAGGTCAGGAGTTTGAGACCAGCTTGGCCAACAGGCCAACAGGCCAACATGATGAAACCCTGTTTCTACTAAAACTACAAAAAATTAGCTGGGCTTTGTGGTGGGCGCCTGTTAACACAGCTACTCAGGAGGCTGAGGCAGGAGAATCACTTGAACCCGGAAGGCAGAGGTTGCAGTGAGCTGAGATGACACCACTGTACTCCAGCCTGGGTGACAGAGAGAGAGAGAAGAAAAAGAGAGAGAGAAAGAGAGAAAAGACAGAGAGAGAAAGAGAGAAAGGAAAGAGAGGAAAGAAAGAAAGAAAGGAAAGAGAAAAGAGAGAAAGAGAGAAAAGAGAAAGAAAAGAGAGAAAGAAAGATCGTAATACTATAAATGAGAAAAAAGATAAAGAAAGAAAGAAAGGGACCTCAGTAAATGTTATTTGAATCTGAGGCTTCTGGATGAATCTGAGGCTTCTGGATTATTCTTCTAATCTCTCCAAAAGATTATGTTTAGGTCTTGAGTAATATCTCTTTTAAAAAGCCTGTCAAACCCAATTTTTAGCCCTACCAATGTTGCTGTAAGCCGCTTGAAGAATGTTGATTTTCAGTGCTTAAAGAAATTGGTATTCACATTCTCTTTTTAAATTCCTGGCTTGAATTATGCTGACGAAGGACTGAAAATAGAGCTTTATAATAAATAATGGATATTTCTACTTTTTTTTTCCTGAGAGACAGAATCTCACTGTGACATCCAGGCTGGAGTGCAGTGGGGTGATCTCAGCTCACTGCAACCTCTGCCTCCCGGGTTCAAGTGATTCTCCTGCTTCGGCCTCCTGAGTAGCTGGTACTACAGGCACCCACCACCATGTCCGGCGATTTTTGTATTTTCAGTAGAGATGAGGTTTCACCATGTTGTCCAGGCTGGTCTCAAACTCTTGATCTCAAGTGATCTGCCTGCCTCGGCCTCCCAAAGTGCTGGGATTACAGGCATAAGCCACCGTACCTAGCCCTACTTGCTTTTGTGCGATAAAAATCAGTAAAAAATGAACTCTTTAAAAGACAGTACTCACCAGTGGCAAAACATAACCCTGCATTAATTTAGCAGTCCTGAAGTCTCTGTGGTATATATATTTTTAATAAATATTAATTTCATAAACTTCATCAAGCAGGTACTATTTTGAAGCTTGGAGTTGTACTAAAACACTTGATCAATGTGGTCAGAAAACTATGGTGCAGGGGTCAAATCCAGCCTGTTAGCTGGTTTTGCATGGCCTACAAGCTAAAAAAGGTTTTCACTTTTTAAAGGTTGAAAAAAAACCAAAAGAATATTTTGTAAAAATTCTATGAAATTCATATTTCAGTATTCACAAATACAGGTTTATCGACACTGATTTGTTTTTGTATTGTCAATGGCTTTTTTCACACTATAATGATGGAGTTCAGTAGCCACAACAGAGACGGTCTGGCCTGTAATGCCCAAAATATGTATATTTGGCCCTTTACCAAGAATGTATGCTGACTATGAATGTAGACGAGTTTTGATAATATACATCACATGTTTGTACTTAGATGACAGAAATTCGTCATCCTTCCTGGTTTTCATTCCTCTTTTTTTTTTTTTTTTTTTTTTGAGATGGAGTTTCAGTCTTGTTGCCCAGGCTGGAGTGTAATGGTGCCATCGTGGCTCACTGGAACCTCTGCCTCCTGGGTTCAAGCGATTCTCCTGCCTCAGCTTCCCAAGTTGCTGGGATTACAGGCACCCACCATCACATCCAGCTAATTTTTTTGTATTTTTAGTAGAGACAGGGTTTCACTATGCTGGGGGGAGAGGGGGCAGGCTGGTTTCTAACTCCTAACCTCAGGTGATCCACCCACCTCAGCCTCCCAAAGTGCTAGGATTACAGGCAGGAGCCACTGTGCCTGGCTGGTTTTCACTCTCGTGGTTAAATAAATAAATGAAGCTTATCATTCTACAGTTGAATCTGTAGACATTTTATTCATTTATTAATCTACCAAGCATTTATTTTAAGGGCTTGGTATGAGCCGGGTTTGGGGCTGGATTCCATGAGCAAAGTAAATAGAAAGACGGACTCAGGACTGGCTAGGGTGAGGCAAACATGGACGAGGGAAAAGAAATGCCATCTCCAGGATGTCTCACTAGGTTTTTCCTCTCATCTCACTCAGGAGACTATGCTAGTCCTTTACAAAAGCAGTGTACTTTTCTTTTTCTTTTTTTTTTTTTCTGAGATAGTTTCATTCTTGTTGCCCAGGCTAGAGAGCAATGGCATGATCTTGGCTCACTGCACCCTCTGCCTCCCGGGTTCAAGCAATTCTCCTACCTCAGCCTCTCTGGTAGCCAGGATTACAGGCATGCATCATCATGCCCAACTAATTTTGCATTTTTATTAGAAACAGGGTTTTACCATGTTGGTCAGGCTGATTTCGAACTCCTGACCTCAGGTGATCTGTGCACCTCGGCCTCCCGAAGTGCTGGGCTTACAGGTGTGAGCCACCGCACCCAGCCTAAAAACAATAAAAACTTTTCAAAGCACCCATGAAAGTGTGCTACTATTGTACATCATTTTTATTATAAATTAATGGGAAAGGTAGTATAAAATACATACACTGCAAAAAGATTTAGAGACAGGTTTATAATTTTAATATTCTGCCTTGCCTCTGTCTTACCTAGAGCCTATTTCTTTTTGTTTTATAGCGGACATTGGCAAGCTTTTTCTATAAAGAAGCCGACAGTAAATGTTTAGGCTATGGTCCACACAGCCTCTGTTGCCAGTCACTCACCCCTGCCATTGTAGTGTGCTCACAGCCATAGGCTACTTCTAAATATGGCACTTTTTATGGTTGTGTCACTGAATTTCTTGCTCTTAACCAGGAGGCCTTTAGATTAATAAATTCCATTTGGATGGGAGCAACTAATGCATAAATGCCCACAATGTGCCAGCCTCTGGGCTGGGCACCCCACACGTGCTGTTCATTTAGTTTTTCTAAAAGCCTCTTACATAGTGGCTGCATACATTTTTCTGATGAGAAGTGAGCTCCACTTTCACCCTCCTGTGAACTTCCTGCTTAGGAACCCAACTGTGCCTTTGTGCCAGTCCAAAACCTGTGCCTTTTCATTCCAAAGACCATGATTATCACCAAGTTAGACCAGAACCCCCACAGGCTTACCTGGAGCCTGTTTCTTTTTGTTTTATACCAGAGATTGGCAAGCTTTTTCTATAAAGAAGTAGACAGTAAATATTTTAGGCTACGGTCCACACGACCTCTGTTGCAGTTTCTCACCCCTGCCATTGTAGTATGCTGGCAGCCACAGGCTAGGCATAAATGAATTAGTGGGTTTGTGTTCCAATACAACTTTATTTACAGACACTGAAATTTAGACTCATATTATTTTCACATGCCTTGAGACATTGTTTTTCTTTTGAGTTTTTTTTTCAAGCTTTTGAAAGTGTAAAAGCCATTCTTGATCCGCAGCTGTAGTCCACTGACCCCTGCTTTTATATAGGTTTAATGAGCGTTTGGATCTCATCTCAGTTCTGTGCATTAGCTGCAGCTGACCAGCAGATGGTGCCCTCTCTCATCAGCCCTTTCCTGAATTGTATCATAATATAAGAAACAATACTTATGGTGATCAAACAGTTATCAGAAAATATGACATTCTTTGGAGATTATTATTTGTATGAGCATCTCTTGAAACTATTCAACATTTTGAATGTTTTGAGGGCTTTTTTTATTTCTTTAAGTTGTTTCTTTAACTCTTGTTACCCAGGCTGCAGTGCAATGGTGTGATCTTGGCTCACTGCAACCTCTGCCTCCTAGGCTCAAGCGATTCTCCTGCCTCAGCCTCCCCAGTAGCTGGGATTACAGGCATGCACCACCATACCCAGCTATTTTTTGTATTTTTGGTGGAGACAGGGTTTCACCATGTTGACCAGGCTGGTCTCGAACTCCCGACCTCTGGTGATCCACCCACTTTGGCCTCCCAAAGTGCTGAGATTACAAGCATGAGCCACCGCATTCATCCAAATGTTTTGAGTTTTTAATGGGTTAGGTTCAGTTACCTGGAAAATGCATGTATACAGATTTTATGCTGGATAAACAGGTTTTTTTGGTTGTTTTTGGTTTTTTTGTTGTTTTTTTTTTTGTTTTTTGAGACAGAGTCTCGCACTGTTGCCCAGGCGGGGATGCAATGGTATGATCTCAGCTCACTGCAACCTCTGTCTGCCGGGTTCTCCTTTCTCAGCCTCCCGAGTAGCTGGGATTACAGGCGCACACCACACCACACCTGGCTACATTTTTGTATTTTTAGTACAGATGGGGTTTCACTATGTTGGCCAGATTGGTCTCAAACTCTTGACCTAATGATCCGCCCACCGCGGCCTCCCAAAGTGCTGGGACTACAGACATGAAACACTGTGCCCAGCCAAACGGGTGTTATTAACATTTTTTCCCCTCACTTTTTGGAAAAAACTAAACTAAAACAATTATTTAAAAAAAATAAACCTTTATAAAAAAGCAGTAACCTTTAAATAAACTTTTCCTCTGTGAACCCTGCAAGTGATTTTTGAGTCTTGTGTTGATAATGCATTTTGTTTCACTCTATATCTAATATATTTGGGGATAAATTTTAGGTAATTTTTGTTTTTAGGTATTTCATATTTTATGATTAAATCCTTTATACATCTTAATAACTTAGTTCATCTGATATGCTCCAATTGAAAGTATTTAGGTACTTTTCTTAATTCTTAATTAGTATTCTGCAGCTCAGAACCTCCTCTTATACCAGCCTTTATTCTCCTAGTAACACAGGCCTTTATGTACCTAGTCCTTTAATCATTCTAATTTTTCCATAAAGATTTTCATGCTGTATTTTAAGATTTTAAAACTTTTGGCTGGGTGCAGTGGCTCATGCCTATAATCCTAACATTTTGGGAGGCCAAGGTGGGAGGATCACCTGAGTTAAGGGGTTCGAGAGCAGCCTGGTCAACATGGTGAAACTTTGTCTCTACTAAAAATACAAAAATTAGCCATGTGTGGTGATGCACACCTGTAATCCCAGCTACTTGGGAGGCTGAGGCAGGAGAATCACTTGAACCCAGGAGGTGGAGGTTGCAGTGAGCTGAGATCACACCACTGCATTCTAGCCTGCACGACAGAGTGAGACTCTGTCTCAAAAAATAAATAAATAAATAAGATTTTTAAACTTTTAAGTAAAATTGATGGGTTGAGGGGTAGGGGAGTTACCATTTTAATCTCGAGTGTCATCCCTGGGTAAAAGGCAGGAATAACCCAGCTTTTTCCTTCATGGTGTTTGCCAGGAAGAGTGCTGTGATAAACACATGTAAGCCCACACTCCCTACGTGATGGAATATGCAGGCTGAGCTGCATCTCTCCCACGCCGTTCATTCTGTGTTCAATTCTTTTCTAGGTGGTTTCCAAGCTCCTTTGTCAGTGGACCCCGCAACATGTCCCATTGTCCCTGGACAGGAAATGATTATAGAAATATCCAAGGGACGTTCAGGGCTTGGTCTCAGCATCGTGGGAGGAAAAGACACACCATTGGTAAGTTTCTAGAAGTAAAATGTATCCATTGTCACAGAACTAGTTGTTGAGGTTCATTCTGGCTCTGTGCCACGAATCTGCAAGACTTGCCTTTTTCATAGTATGGGGAGAAAATGTGATCATAAATAGGTGTGCATCCATAGTCTAGCTAGTTTTCAAGTTTTTCTCAGTGTTTAATTTTCATCAGGGCTGGGCATGGTGGCTAACGCTTGTAATCCCAGCACTTTGGGAGGCCAAGGCAGGCAGATCGCTTGAGCCCACGAGTTCAAGACCAGCCTGGGCAACATGGCAAAACCTCATTTCTACAAAAAATACAAAAATTAGCTGGATGGGCCAAGCACAGTGGCTCATGCCTGTAATCACAGCACTTTGGGAGGCTGAGGCAGGAGTGTTACTTGAGGTGAGGAGTTCAAGACCAGCCTGGCCAACATGGTGAAACCCTGTCTCTACTAAAAATACAAAAATTAACCAGGCATGGTAGCTGTAGTCCCAGCTACTCGGGAGTCTGAGGCAGGAAAATCGCTTAAACCCAGGAGGCAGAGGCTGCAGTGAGTTGAGATCACGTCACTGTACTCCAGCCTGGGCAACAGAGCAAGACTCCATCTCAAAAAAAAAAAAAAAAAAAATTAGCTGAGTGGAGAGGCATGCACCTGTGGTTTCAGCTCCTTAGGAGGCATAGGTGGGTCGATCACTTCAGCCCAGGAGGTCAAGGCTTCAGTGAACCGTGACCATGCCACTACATTCCAGCCTGGGTGATAGACAGCAAGACCTTGTCTCCAAAAAAAAAAACCTTCATCAGGATTTTCTCCATCTAGGATGTTGGCACATAGTAAGTATTCAGTAAGTAGGAACTATTGTTATTCTCGTTATTATTTTAATGGAATGGTAGATAAAAAGGATACCTCAGGCTGGCATGGTAACCAAGGCAGGTGGATAGCTTGAGGCCAGGAGTTTGAGACAGGCTGGGCAAGACCTCATCTCTACAAAAAAGCTTTTTTTTTTTTTTAATTAGCAAGGTTTGGTGGTACACACCTGTATTCCCAGCTACTCAAGAGGCTGAGGAAGGAGGATCAGTTGAGCCCAGGAGTTTGAGGCTGCAGTGAACTATGATCACGCCACACACTCCAGCCTGAGCATCACAGCAAGGCCCTGTCTCTTTAAAAAACAAAAAAACAAAAACAGCAAAATATATATATATGACTTATTCTAGCCCAACAATTTAGGGTTTATTTTACACTGACCATTTTCATGTCTACTCATAATTTTTTTTAAAAAAAGTTGGTCTAGAATGTTAGTATTCCCTGAGATGATTGATTTTTCATTGTTTTTTATTTTTGAAAAAATAAATACAGATAGGGTCTTGCTATGTTGCCCAAACTGGTTTTGAACTTTTAGGGTCAAGCGATCCTCCTACCTTAGCCTCTCAAAATGCTGCAATTACAGGCATGAGCCGCTATGCCTGGCCAGGACGATTGATTTTTCATTATTCAGTACCTTTTGTTTACCACTACTCAGTAGTGCCATTAAAATGTAAAACGTTTCCCAGGTTTTGATTTACTCAAGATGTGATTAATCAATGCATCTCTGTGTGTGTGTGTGTGTGTGTGTGTGTGTGTGTGTGTTTAATACCTGCATATTATACAAAGTTAGATTGACACAAAAGGAAAATTTTGAGTATGTGTGTGTGTATTTAATACCTGCATCTTGCGCAAAGTTAAATTGCCATAAAAGGAAAAAAGTGAAAAATAAATCTCCCTCCTACCTTTTTGCCCTAGCTGTGTCCTTCACTACCAATCCTTCCTAAAGAAACAAGGCCTCTCCCTAGAGACAATCACTTTGTTAATGAATATGTTTTAAATGAATATTTTGGTATTTCTTTTGCCCATTTTATTTAGTAAGCAATAAATTGTACATGCCAGATTAAACAAATATATCAGGGCCTATAAAACTATTTTTTTTCCATTTTGGGCAGTAATATAACATTTTTGTGGTAGTATTGTTGAGGGTGGGGAGATCCTATTCTAAAGCACTAGGAAACTCAAGAACAGCACATGCTATTGAAACCAGGGTCATGATGATGCAGGAGTTTTCTTTTGACCCCTTCATCAGACTTGCAACAGGGGTACTCCGTTTACTCTGACCACTGCACTCAACCTCTTGTGGGAGGAAGTGCATGAGTGAGTGAGTGCAGGTCCCAGAAGGATGCTTTGGGCACTGGCTGGAGCAGGCTCCATGGGGTCCCCACAACCAGACCAGGTGGGGGTGCCTGGGACCCCTGAAGCCTCAGAGAGTGTGTTACAATGCTAAGCTCCACCATCTGTGGACAGCAGTGCGTTATCACAGTTCAGTGGGCCCCTTGCCTTGTTGCAGGGGGCAGCTGCCCCCTACCAGCGAGGTCAAAGGGCCAGTGTGACAGCCTTTTTTGGGTATCCACACTCAGTGAGTCCAAAGCTCTTGTCCAGCATCTAAGAAGAATTAGGTTGCACAGACACTTGAATGATGGCGGAAAGGAATTTTATTTAGCAGTGGAAGTGGCTCTCAGTGGAGAGGGGAGCTGGAGAGGGGACGGGACAGGCAGATAGTCTTCCCTGAAGTCCAGCTGGCATTAAGCCATCTCTCCTCCAAAGTCCAGCTGTCCCTCTAAAGTCAAATTGCCTCTCTCCAGTCAGGCTTCTCTCCTCTACCAACAGAGTCTGGAGTCTTCACGGGCACAGTAGGAGCAGGGCGGGCCATAGGTAGTTTTGGGAAAAGGCAACATTCAATTAATAAAAAGCCATTATTCAGAAAGAACCAATCGGGAGAGAGCAGGCAAACAGGGATAGAAATAATCACTATGGACCATGGGTTTCAGGCTTTTCAGCTCAAAGATGGGGTTTTGCCAGGGATTCACCCCTGTCTGCCTAGAATTTCTCCTGTCCCTATCATTAATGCCTTTTACATGTTTGCTGGTCGTGGTCCTTCCCTTTCCTACCATTGGGCCAAGTCTAGAAAATCCTGGCTTTGAGTCCCACCCTGCTAGTGAACCACCTCACCTGAACCTGAAGGGATTTTATCTCCTTCAGCTTGATAAAAGCATTGTTAAAACTTTTCTCTGGAGTTCATGATAATTTATGTCCTGAATTCTCCTCTTACCTGTGCAAGCAGAAACTGCTATGTGTGGCTTCATACATACATTGTGACATTTTTAGCAGCTTGGGTGGAATGGGCAACACCTGGAGTTAACCAACTCAGCAGCCACTTTTAGCACCTAGCCTGTTTCATGGGTCTTTGCCCCCTTAAGGCCCCAAACCTCTACATTTCTTATTTCTGGCTTGGAATGCTATCTGTTCAGCTTTTGTCATTGAGAAAAGAGGCAAACTCTTCCTTAGAGGTTTCCCTTCAAGGAATTTGGTCTGGGCTGTATTTTCTAATCGTATTTTTAATAATTCTTTGTAATTTTATGTCATCCAGTCTCTCAGCAGTTCATAGAAACACTTTGACTAGCACCAGCAATCCAGCTAGCTCCTGCTTTATGTAGAAGGTCTCACGTACCACCAACATAGGACTAGGACCAGACCAGATCATTGTTCCCCAAACCTACATATGCACTGCAGCCTCTCGGACTTTGCCCTGCTCCCCTCACATTGCTCCCTTCTGCCCTCCTGCTCCCATCAAGCTTCTCTACCCGCTCTAAGCCACTCCTCCCCAACGAAGTCTTGCCTGGGTTTCATGATCTGTCCTCAGCCAAACTCAGAGCTGATGCTGATCCTCTCTTTTAGCTTTTAGTCATATTCCCTCTTTACCATTGACTAGCTGGGGCAGATTTCTTAACCTCTCAGAGTCTATTTCCTGCTCTATTTACAGAGATAATAACACCTTGTAGACATACTAGGATGATCACAAGAGATGACCTTCATAGGACGCTTAGCACACAGTGAGCAATTGCCCATGGCACATACCTTCTCCAACTCTGTTTTCACATATGCAAAATCAGCTTAATAATCCTCAATAATAATTGAGTTGTGGTGAGGATCAGATGTCTTATAAACAGTAGAAAAAAAATATATATATATATATGTATATATAAAACCAAGGCCCCTAGTATTGAGAAACTACTGGTTGACCCTGAACATTGGGCAATGTGTCCTTCCTAAGGCCTGTTTCTACACTTTCCCAAAGGGGTGTTCCTGAATATTAAAAACAATAATCCTGGGAAATTACATTGTAAGCAAATTCTGTAGTGAATTCCTTCATAACAGAAAATTAACCTTCTGATTATTTTTTCTAAATGTAACTCTTTTTTCATTGCTTAAAATAAGGCAGGACTAGATTTCTCATAGGAAATCAGAAGTTTGATCAGCACGTCCAGCCTAACTGAATGAGTTGTGGTCTTTTGTTTTGTTTTTTTGCTTTTTTTTTGAGACAGAGTCTCGCTCTGTTGCCAGGCTGAAGTGCCGTGGCGCAATCTTGGCTCACTGCAACCTCCAACTTCCTGGTTCAAGTGATTCTCCTGCCTCGGTCTCCCGAGCAGCTGGGCTTACAGGCACGCGCCACCACACCCAGCTAAGTTTTGTATTTTGATATCTGGACGTCATGATCCTTCCGCCTGGGCCTCCCAAAGCGCTGGGATTACAAGCGTGCACCACTGCACCCAGCCGAGTTGTGTTTTTGCTTTTGCTTTTGCGACTGTTAATCTGACTTTGCTTTACCTGGGTTGGTTGGGATACCTGAACAAGATGTGTGTGTGCTGCTCTTGGGTCTTTAATATTGCATTCATTTGTGCTGCTAGCTGACAGCTTGAGGGTTTCCACTGAACTCCACCACTTCCTGCAACCTGGACCTGAGGCTGTTTGCTAAATCCTGTACTCTCCTTTCCCTGCCACCGTGAGGCAGCCCCAAAAAAATTTTTTTAAGTCAAGAGCTTTTTGAGGTTCATAATATATAGTTCTGCCTTTTGAGACTGTAGATCGCATTGTCCTTGGAAGGATAAGAACCACTTAAAAATGAGGGATGGGACACAG